CCCCCCCCGGGGCTTTGCCCCCTCCTGCCCCTTAAATACAGGATCTGGCCTTAATTAAAGGCAATCAGCAGCTTATTGGGTTCCTGGAGAAACCCTCGAAGGGGGAGATGAAGCACAGCTCTCCCCCAGAACCGAGCAGCACTTTGGTCGACAAACACACACAGACACAGACCCTTTAAATACATTTCATTTTTAATTTGGACGTTAATCGCTTCGCAAAACACCTCCTTATCCCCTGCTCCGTCCTTCACCCGCAAGTACACCCCTTCTGCAGCCAGCACGGTTGAAAAGAGACATCACACAACCCTTTCCGAGACCCAAATACCCCATTTCTTACCTCCGCACCCCAGATCCTCCCCCCGGCAGTTCTCTCCATCACACCACAACATACGTGACATCTCTCCTTCGCTCATCAAACGAGTCAAAGAAAAAGAAAACCAAAACAAAGGCTTTAGAGGAGGGAAGCTCTCATCACCCACAGCCCCTGCAAACCTCTCGGCTCCACGACCTGCTCTGCACCCACCACACGTGTCCCACGGGCCGGCACCACGCTGGCTGTCTCGGCTTTCAGCCGAAATTGGCTTCAGGATGGTGGGAAGGAGACAGGCAAAGAGCAGGACACTCCTTCCCCACCCTTCTCACAACATATCAAGTCTCAAAGAAAAACTTCAGCGGTTTTTGGGGTAGTTATACATATTAAACAACCCCAGGACCCTTCCTAACCCAGCTTTGGCCAACAACCACAGTGTTAATTCAATTAAACCACATCAGAAACCCAAGTGTCACGCTGGCACTGACAGCCCTGGGGAGCGCAGGGAGACCGGTGCTGCCACCAATATTGCACACAGACAACTCCGGAGGGCTGCAAAGAGCCACTGGAGTGGGGTCCCTGCGCCCACACAGCACCTGGTAGGAGGCTTCACCCCCATGCTTGGTCACAGCCGAGCAGCACCACTGGCTTTCGCCTCGAAAACCAGGACATCTCCCAGCTCCACCTGCAAGGAAACCTCTCTCCCCGCCACCAAAGGGGGTGAGTTTCTCCGAGAGGAGCAGAATAAAATGGGAATCCACTTCCCAACTGCCCTGCTCGCAGCCACTCTCCCTTCGCCTCTCGAATCGCTCTCCCGCTCGCCTTCGTGCTACTCTACAAATCTACCCACAATGGCCAAGACAACGGCACACGCTTCCTCCATCACGGGGCGGGGGAGGGAGTCCTGCCAAGTCTCCCCCCTTCTCTCTTAAGGTCTCTCTCCATTTGTGCTGGGGAAAAGGATTCATCCGCGGCAAACTGCACACACGAGGCAGGCGCTTTCCGCATCATCTCCTGAGACCGGCCTGGCCACTTCTCTGATCACACAAGATCCCAACTTGGAATATAGGAAATGGGCTCACCGAGACCTGAATACTTTCTCGTTAAGGCTTAAACTAGCAATTCAGCCGCTGCAATAAACCAGACAGACATGCTGCTGAAAGGAAGAAAGTTAATTAAAAAGAAGAAAACCCAAACCAGCTTGGCGTTAGGCACGCGGAGGGCTTTGCTTTCCTCTCCCAGGCGGCAAACCCGTTCTCAACACCCACCCGGTTAGCGCGTGACACAAGCCTACTTTATGGGAGTTGTTTTTTAAAACAGCCAGAAAAACGCAAACTAAACTCTCACAAAAGCCCCACAGGTGGGACTGTCACATTAAATATACAACCGAGGCCAACTTTTAAAATGTCTTTAAACAAAAAAAAATAAATCCACACGCGCATACACACACACACTTTGGCACGCAAGCCTTAAGTTATATCACTTGAAACATTTCAAAGTCAGAGGAGAGCTACTGGGGTTTTTTTTGTAGTTTTTTTTTTTCTTTTTTTTTTTTCCCTTGTAAAAAGGTATCAAGCAGTGGTGTTGGTGAAGCATGAAGAGCGAGTACAAGTGCTGAACGGTTCCAGAGCTGTTCCTGCAATGCCGCTCAACACTTGCACTCCGATTACTTTCCCAAAGCGGCTAGCTGATTACATACACGTATATAAAAACTAACGCAGACATTCCCAGTTTTCAATGTGAAAACGGTAAAATGTAATCGAGTACTTGTGCATTTGCCATAGGGTCCTTGGAAAAAGGAACCATAAAAATATTTTTTTTTAATAAAAGTCTTTTTTTTTTTTCTCCTTTTTTTTTTTGTTTTTTTTACCCTTAACTTAAGTAAAGAGCAAATATACACCTATAAGCAGAGTTCAGATCCACTTTACTGAGAGCCTGGAAGTCTGTACATTAAATTAATTCCCAGTGGCGTATCCAGACACCGGAACAGCTCCCAGCTCCAAAGGATTGGTGTTCCTGACAGATCTGCAGCTCCGGCTAACCTCGTTAGCCAGCGCGAAGCAAAGACTCTTTCAAGCCTTATCTGTCTCAGCCGACGCTCCCCCAACAGACTCTGCAGCTGAGCAGCTCTCTGCCAAGCAGAGCCTCACACACAGGACCCGGCTCTGGGAGCATCAGAGCTGGCAATCTGGGCAACAACCCTGAGACCTGGCGATTTCAACCCATATCAGGCTGTAACAAGGAAAATATAAGCACTGAGCTTATATTTTCTTATTACTCAGAGGACAGACCGCTGATTCCAGCTACTGAGAAACAGCTTCCAGAGGAGAGCCGGGAGGAACTTCAGTGACAGAGAAACTAGCTGTGCAATAAGAAAGTGCATTTAAAGGTAGCTTAAAACCAGATTAAAGATCAAATCGCCACTCGACAGGAGGGAGAATCAAGCTCCAGCAGCCACGCTCCTTGGGCTAGGTGGGTTAACATTCAGGCTCTCTCTCACGAGTCCGAGGGGCAGGAGAGAAGCGTGCATTCCCGTGCTCCGACAGGGACACAGTTCTCCTGGCAGACCATGCTCTCCTGCCCGGTTTGCTTCTGTGCAGTATCAGTTCTGGACAGCTGTCATCGGAATTCGTAGATAGGAGCGCTGTGCTCAGGAACGTGAGTTAAATTCAATGACTGATACCTGGGAGAGAGGGAACAGACAGACGAGAGAATTACATAGAGCAACAGAACTCCCCTAGCACCAACAGCTCCCGCTTGGCAGGCCACAGAGGGGACATCCTGGTGGCTGGCTCTCCTCTTCCCCTTCACAGAGTCAAGTCTCAGAGGTGTTCAGGCACCCAACACCCACCTACCAGTAGTGCCAAAACCCCGTGAGGACTTGGCATCGTTCCTCATTTCCTTTCCTGTGCCTTTGAGCTACCTGCAGCCAGGCTGCGTTCAAGGTGGGCTGACTATGGTTTTTGGGCACCTTTTGAAGTTCAACAACTTTCATGTTCAAATGGTGTTTGCTACAACTGCAAATTACACTTGGGTCTTTCAAAGCTCAGCTCGAGGGGATTCATCTGAAAGCCTCCCAGGTACCTTCCCTCCCCCTGAGATCTTCCAGCTGCCCTACAGATTCACTTGCTGCATGTGACAAATATCCAAAGCTGTCAGAGGGAAAAGAGCTCTCCACAGCTACTTATCACATGGCTTTAACAAGAAACCAACCAATTAACTTTGACTGTTCCCTGTGTCTTACAGCAACACCCCAAGGACTACAAAGCACTGACCTAACAAGATTTCTGCGTGAAGGGAGAAACAGCCAAGCTGTTATATGTGAGAAAGCACCGAGCTCCTTCTCGAAGGCCCCTCCAACAACCTCTGAAGGGCTAAGGCACAGAGAAGCTCAAAGCTTGAATCACTGAGCAAAGCACAAACTGAGGGAGCACAACCCTGCACAAGAGGTCAGGCTGCCTTACACTTGCCTGTCCCCATGGAAGGGCGGGAGCAGGGAAGCCCTGCGAGCTGGACTGGAGACCAGGCTTCTGGAGGGATGCTTTTAGTGAACCACAGCTGGTCTCTGCCTCCCAATGTACCTCACTGACGCACCAGACCATTGCTTCACTGGGCCACAGCACATCTCCACACCTCGTACCTCCCCTGCGCCACGTTGCCAGCAGGGTTATCCCCAGCCATGCAAAAAGAGCAGCACTTTATACCACACGAATGGGCTGCACTCGCCTGGCTCCAGCCAAGCATGGCACACACGCCCTCCCTTCTGCCCCAAGGTCCAGCCGCCGCACTGAACCTCCTTCCCAGCCCAGAGAAGCACCATCTGGACACTCCCGAGGCTGCAGACAAGCAGGAGAGGAGTCACCCTTCAGTCCGCAGGAGGAAGGAAGCTTCCTTACCATTCTGAACTCCTATGGTAGTAATAGCCCTCTATAGATGCTGCTGACTTCTGGAAGCAGATGTAATAGAAACCAGCAAAGGAAGCACCGCTGATGTCTTTGATAGTGTGATCTGGGACTAGGAACTGTTCCTGCACAGAAAATACAGACCGTATTTTAAAATGCCGGTCAAATACTAGCCACCCCCCCCCAGTTTGCCCTCCCAAACTGAATATCAGCACCCATTAACACAAAGGCTGAGCGTTCCCTGCACTCACAGCAGCCCAGACCCGAGACCAGCATGTTCTTTCACCACCTGCCACTGTAGGCATCTTACAGGCAAGCAGACAACTGAGAACAGAACCAGTTTTAAAGAGTGCACGAGATCAGTTTTAGTTCAACTGGCCACTGCAAACCAGAAGCCAATTGCAAATCAGGAATCAGAGCTGCGTGACGATGAAGTGAAGGTTCCAAAGAGACCTTATTGCAGCCTTTCAGTACTTACAGGGGGCTTATAAGGAAGATTGAGAGAGATGTTTTACCAGGGCCTGTGGCAATAGGACGACGGGTAACAGTTTTAAACTGAAAGAGGGTAGCTTTAAATTAAATATAAGGAAGAAATTCTTTACTATGAGACTAGCAAGACACTGGAACAGGTTCCCAGAGAAGTTGTGGATGCCCCATCCCCTGGAAGTGTTCAAGGTCAGGTTAGTCGGGGCTTTAAGCAACTGGAAGATTTCTCTGCCCATGGCAACAGAGAGGGCATGTACTAGATGACCTTTAAAGGTTCCTTCTAACCCAAACCTTTCTGCAATTCTATAATTTCCTCCCATCACAGCTGCACAAAGCTTGTGTAAAGACAGAGGAATTGATCCACCTGACTCCAGTCTCCACCAAACACACAGGTCCCACACAGGGACTAGAAACACCATTTCTCTCACCCTCTGGAGCATCACCAAGCAAGACTTTCCTGTTGCATTTTTAGCCGTGACTGCAGCCCTTAAGGACATAATTAGCTGGCTAGACAGGAGTCACACTGGAATTTGCAAGTATGGTGGGTTATGAGGTTGGTAGGGTCAAATCTTTCATTAAACCAGCGTAGCTCAAAAAGCTTTCAGGCACCACAAGCCTCTGTCAGTCGCTTGTAAGCAGCTCATCAGAGAAGGAGACATGCAGAGTTTACCTTCCATCTCATGAAGACATAGTCCCCATTTTTCAGATCCTCATAATCAAAGTCATCAGAATTAAATGTTTTTGCATACTGGTAAAAAGCCTGGAACTTCCCCTGAAACAAAAAAGAAAAGAAAAAAAAAAACCAAACCCAGGATGCTTATTCCCGGAGTAGAGCTCACTAGCACCAGCTGCTATTTAGGAGGGAAAAACTGCTACGGAACAGGACCTCCTCACCAAAGGGGCTGTTCTTCTGCCAGAGCAGCGCTTAACACACACCCCAGGACTAGCACAGGGGAACACAGAGGATTGCCAGACGCCCACAGCCACATCCGGCCCGACTGAAGAAGCTCCTACACTTCCAGAGGAAGATTATTTGACAGAAAAATAATAAATGTCACAGTCTGGCAAACAACAGCAAAGGTCAAGGTGGCGAGGCAGTCGGCTGGCTGCTGTGGCCCTGATCCAGAGCACCGTGGCAGACACACCCTATCCCGAGCAGAGGGCTGAGGTAGCCGGTAGCGTGACTGAGACATGGCTACCAACTGCCCTGCCTGTGCCAGAGGGGCACCTCTCCCCTTCTCCGCTCCGTTTCACGATAAGCCTTCAAAACAAGGAGTGTGTTCTCCTAGGGGTGCAAGAGACAGGGATTGCTCCTCTTCCCTTCCAACCCCAGGGCCAGCAAGTAGACAGCAAGACACCCCCTTCCCTTCTCCTGGATCACAGCCAACAGCCTGCTGAAAGGACCTCTAGTTCCAGAGATCCCAGTTGGGGAAGGATGGAGATACCCAAAAAGGAGAGCTTTCCAAGACCTTCACACAGCTCTTGCACAGACAGC